ACTGGGTGTTGGCGAGAAGTCTCAGTTCCTTGTCACATGGGCCTCACAGGAGCAGTAGGCATCATTAGAACCCGAGGGGGGGGGGGGTGTCAATCTTTTACAGCTTCATTTCATCCAATCAGTTTTGCTGTACTCCATTGATTAGAAGCAAGTCACTAAGTCGTCTGAAGGATGCAATTACACATAGGTGTGAATATCAGGAGGCAAGGAACATTGGGAGCCATCTTAGAAAGCTGTTGGTCACAACCACCAACAAATGAATTGTCACTTACTAATCTCTTACATTGCAATAAGGCAGAGAGTAGAGTCCAGGAGTGTAACTTTGGAAACAGACCCCTCTCTCAAAGGGAGTCTCACTCTGAGGCAAGACGTACAGAGATGATAAGAGAAATAACAGCCATGCTAAGCAAAACAAACAAACAAACAAACAAAAATATAAGACAGCAACCATCAAAGGAGAAAAGTAACATATTAAACTTCACAAAAATATAAAATTCTATACATTAAAAATCATACACAATAATCAAACAATCTGCTAAGGAAGGTTTGCAACATATACAGCAGAGTAGATCTCTTTAATACCGTGTTCTTACAAATCAGTGCAGCAGCTGTAAATGCACAGTGGGAACACTAGCCAAGAGCATAGAACTCAATACACAAAAGAATTACAAATTACCTTAAATGCATGAAAAACTCTTTGGCCTCATTTATAACTAAAGGAACACCTATTAAATTGGCAAAGATTACAAAGGATAATAACACCCACTACTGTAATGTATACTAGGAAGGCAGCCTTCTTTTATCCTACTGATAAGAGGTAAATTTGTATAATTTTCCTGGGATTGCAACATAAATCAAACCCTGGAAAGGGCAGAGGTACAGACATCCTGCTGAAAGTGACAGAGGTACCAGGCATGCAAGCATTTGTATCTTCCAGGGGAAAAAAGGTGCAAAGTTGTATGGAGACATCTGGGACCAAAATTGGAAAAGTGGGTTTATGTCAAATAACTGAGAGCCTCGAACAACAGGTCATAGTGTCTGGGTGACATTCAACTGGCAGTGAAAAGTCACTGGAAGTTTTTAAACACGTGAGTTATCAGATGAAAGAAGAGTTCTCAGCCCAGTTAGAAACACCACTGAGCTATGAATCCAGGGACAGAATTGGAGGACGCACCGCTCTCTCCATGAGACCTCTGACCCTCCCATGCTGGCTTCACTGTCCAGCAGGGACAAACAAATGGCCCTTCTTACTGAAGGACGACTTGGATGCGTTGCTCAGCCTTTTGAGCTCCTTTGATCTTTGTCATTTGAAGCCTATTGGCATATGAATCAGATAGCACCTCTCACAGGGCATGGAATAGGACATAGCATGAACAGCAGCAATGGAGGTGCATAACCCAGGGCGTGTTACTTAGGATTCTTTGGGTTGCAAGCAACAGAAATCTGCTTGAGTTAGCTCAAGCAAAAGCAGAAGAGGAGTTGATTATAATTCTTGAAGAAATAAATCTGGGCTGCAAATGGGCTCAGAAAAAAACTGGAATCAGGGACCTGAACATTCTCTTTGTCTTGTCTTTGTTCCTTTCTGGGCATATGCTTTCTTCGTTTTCTCTTTGCGTGGTGTGTTCCTTGGTTTTTCCAGGCTATATGACAGAATATTCAGCACTGCCAGCTCAAAAGGAATGTGTCTAACAAGTTGGAATTATGAAGGCTCTGTGTCTCTCAGCCCTGATTTCAGTTTCTGGAGAAGGACTCTGATGGGCTCAGCTCAGGTAAGATGCCTCTGTTGGACAAATCATCTCTGATCAGTGACAGCATCGTGTTCAACAATCATGGTTGCCAGACGTAATCCCTTAACTAAGCGAATTCGGGTGGTGGAGGGTGGACAGGCAGACCCCAGCAAAGGGAAAGCGCTGGACAGACAACCATGGTGTTGATACCAATGGAGCTTGGGAATAAGAGAGGCCGTGAGGGAGACCTCATCCTTTCCCCTGCAGAATTCTTCCCCAAATGGATGCAGGGGCAGCAATATTCAATACCGTGTGCCCTGCATAATCTCTCATATCAGATTCTACCAGAGTTAAATGCCCCACTCTCTGCTCCTTCCTGCCGGCTTCTTCCCCAGCGGCACACATGCACATGAACACATATGCACATGCACACACAAATTGCCTAAAGGCAGTCAGTAAAATCCAGATCTAGCGGCCCAGATATGGCCATTGGTCAGCCTACCGCCAATGGCCTCTGCCTTGGGAAGCCAGGTGATGCATTTGGTCCAGCTGGCTTGTGGATGGCTCAGGACTCCGAAGGTGGCTTTATTTGTCCCTTAAATGACCCATTTCCTTTTGCGAGGAGAGAGAGTAATTAAATTGCAAGAAATTAACTGGATAAGACTCTCTAAACTAACCCAGAAAAGAGATGAATTTGTAACAGTGCTTGAGGAACCCAGCCCCGCTGGCCCCAGGGAAGCTTCCAGGCTCTGCTGGTGTGAGCAGGGCCACAGCTTGAACCCATTTGGCAAATGATCCTCCAGCCCGCTGACGTTCTTACTCCTACAGTACACACACTGGCCACGTTCCGCCTTTTACTTCTAACTAATGCAAGCTAACAGTTTGTGCTTCTTTGTCCGCTTTTACGGGCATTCATCTGGCCATTGCAGCAAAATACCGACACCAGCCTCGAAACATAAATCCTAGGGTCTACTTTACTCTATTTAATCCATACTATACACACACACACACATACATATGTATGATATGCAAGCATGTGTGCATTGATGCCACACATATATGATATATATATGATAGACATCTTTGTTCTAGTGTTTTGAAAAGTTCATTTATTTCATGGCTATCTATAAAATGCCTGCTAAGTGCCGGACACGTTCTAGGTGCTGAGGATACAACAGTGACAAGATAGATGTGGTACAAGCACCGTGTCCTGAAGGAGGTAGACAATAAACAAGTATATGACACGGTATGTCTCCCGGTAATAGGTGAAACGAAAGTAAAGAAGGGTAAAGGGATGGTGGATACTACTCTAGTTCAGGTGATAAGGAATTATAAGAATTTGGAGATATGTTTTAATCCTTAAGCTCTAACAGAAGAAGAAATGTAGGAACATACACACATACACAAAAAGCAACCATTGAAGGAAAAAAGTAACATATTAAACTTCACAAAAATATAAAATCCTATACATTAAAAATCATACACAATAATCAAACAATCTGCTAGGGAAGGTTTTGCAACATATACAGCAGAGTAGATCTCTTTAATACCGTGTTCTTACTAATCAGTGCAGCAGCTGTAAATGCCCAGTAGGAACACTAGCCAAGAGCATAGAACTCAGTACACAGAAGAATTACAAATTACCTTAAACGCATGAAAAACTCTACACATAAAAAAATTAAAGAGAAAGAAAGAACGGAAGGAGGAAGGATATTAGTTAGCTATTGCTGTATCACAAACCACTCCAAAATGCCGTGGCCTAGAACAACAACCGTTTCCTATTTCTCTCCAGTCTACGCGTCACTGGGCAGTTCTGCTCAACTAGCCCAGGCCCAGTGGACCCAGCTGGGCTCTCTCCTATTTCAGGGGATCAGTGGTTGTCAGCTGAGTCTAACATGGTCTTGGCTCTTCTCCCTGTAACTCTGTGTCCCTCCAAGGGGCTAGCCCAGGCATCTTCTGTGGTGAGGTAGAAGTGAGAGAGTGAGCAAGCCCAGTTGTTCAAGGGATTAAGTGAAAATGTGCATGTACTTCTCTTCTTTATATTGAATGTTTTGGGGTGGCATTGGTTAATAAAATCATATAGGTTTCAGGGGTACAATTCTATAACACATCATCTGTCTATTGTATTGTGTGTTCACCATCCCAACTTTCCTTCCATCACCATTTACCCCCTTTTGCCCTCTCCTACCTCCCCCACCCCCTTTCCCTTTGGTAATCAGCACACTGTTGTCTGTCTACGGGTGGCTGCTTTCTTTGCTTAAGCCCTTCAGCATTTTCACCCAGGCCCCAGGGCCTCCCCTCTGACAGATGCATCTGCCCCCGGGAGAGGTTTTCCTCAGAACCTGACCCTGCTGGCACCTTGGTTTTGGGCTTTTCAGCCTCCAGAGCTCTGAGAAATACATTTCTATTGTGTAAGCCTCCAAGGCTGTGGTATTTTGCATGAAGCCCAAGCTAAGGCAGGTGCGGACACATGGAGGCAGTGAGCAGGTGAAGAGGATTGGGACCAGGGACACAGAAAGACACTGGGACCCGCCAAGTCTATTCCAAAACTAGAAGTGGTTTGGGGATTTTCCATGCTTGGGGCAAAACCAGTTGCGTGTGAAAGGTTCTAGTTCTGCCTGGAGGACTCGGCATAGCCTACTCCCTATCTTCAAATGTCAGGCAAGCTTTTGGAATAGATTTTTAAAAAGATATCTTCCTACACTCAGACCTGTGATTCATTTCCTTCCTCTCCCCTCCTTTTAGATGGCCAGTCGTGTTTTCAAAACTAACATCTCTCGTCAGCAGGCAGAACCTTAGATTTCAGGTAGGATGTACTTGTTTTATTGCTCATCGTTAAGTCTAGTGAATTCTTTGTCTAAACTGTCTTTCCTGTATCCCCTTTTCTGCATGTCCTTAACATCATTCTAGGCGAAGCCGTTATGACATCACCCCTGACGTGCCCCCCTTAACTGCTCGCTCGGCCCCGGGTACTCTGATCTCATATTTATCCTTCCCATAGCCACTCTAAAACGTAATTCCATTTTTATTATTCCATAAACTATCACCAATGTGCTAAGGCAACAAAGAGAAATGGGAGGCATCACCGTAGAAAAAGTGGACACAAAATGATACATAATTGCGGGAAAGGTGATTACCATCCCCCTAAATCATAAGAGTTAGCTAAAACGCTAAGAGACTTAATATGACAGTTCCATAAAGTGACCCGATGGAAAATAAATAGATGAAATTACCCATTTTTCTGTCCGTCAGGAACATTCAGCCACATAAGGGAGAGGAAGCGCCATGAACAGGACTCAGTGTCTCACGTGAAGGTGGAGAGAAGTGGACACTTCCTGCAAGTGGACGATAAGGAGAGTGAGGGCCCAGGTGCTGGAGCTGGACTGCATGGGTTCTAATCCCAATTCCACTTTTTCACTCTTGAGTGACTTTGGGCAAGCTACCCAACCTCTCTGTACCTGAATTTTCTCATCTGTAAAATGGGGGTGATAATTGTACCACCTCACAGGTAAGTGTAGATCAGTGAGATCATACACAGAAAGTGATAGAATAAGCACCATCGAAAGGGTTGCTATTATTATTTTTATGTTTTATTATTAGTAACTCTCAGTCACACTTTGTCATCTGCCCTGAAAATTTGCCTTCAGCCCCAAGTCTCACACGTTCTTCCATGAAGCCCGGGCCAGGTAGCTCAGTTGGTTAAAGCGTCATCTTCATACACCAAGGTTGTGGGTTCGATTCCCCAGTAGAGCACATACAAGAAGCAACCAATGAATACATAAATAAATGGAACAACAAATTGATGTTTCTCCCTCTCTCTTTCTCTCTCCCCCACCCTCTCTCTCTAAAATCAATAAAATAATTTTTTAATTAAAAAAATTCTTCCATGAAAACAAGTCCATTATTTCCTAACATCCAGTCTTTGATTAATATAGGGGTGCAAGTCCAAGACCCACGCACTGTGCTAGCTCTTCTAATATTATTGACCCCTCCTTAGCTAAGGGTATTTTTTCCAAAAGCAATCCAAGTCTGCAGAGATACAACTCAACATCCAGCAAAGGCTTAAATTCTAAAAATGTTTAGCTCCTTGGAACTGGTCTCTAGTACCTTCATTTAGGAGCTTTGCTTTATATTTGCATTACTAAAATTTCTACTTGAAGGTAATTCTAGGACCAAAAGAATTGCCTCTTAAAAGCAGCTTATAAATAACAAGAGCTGTCTGTTTTCATCCTCTTAATTATCAAGGTTTGAAAAATATCAGGACTCAGGTCTCAGCTTGGACATGTCAGAACGAATGTCCAACATACCTTCATATTTAAAGGTTTTACGATAATGCAATGATGCGGTTGCATAGTTTTGCCCTTGGAATCTAAAGGTGATCAGGGGCTGAAAGTACTGCTACCTGGAGGCAGCAACGCAGGCGGCAGGGACTCCAGGCTAAAGATGAGTAAGAGAGATTACCTGGTGTTATGTTACTCTTTTTTGTTTATTTCCCCTTTGTTACCCTGAGCTTTCAAGAACTGTTAAAAATTTTTTTTAGCCTGTTCTTGGCTGTGGAATTAAGGGAAGAGTTGTATGCTTTATGTTCTCATACTGGGGCTAAATCCTCAAAAGTAAAGCAGAGGTTTCCAAGGTCAGCCTATAGGTGATAGAGTAAGCAGTGAGAAATCCCCCAGGAGACAGTGACTCTCAGAGCAGGAATGAAAGCTTTGAGGTCCAGCCAGCACTCCTCACTTGGTGATTCCTCCCCGTCTCCAGCCTTGGAGAATCTGGGCTAGATTTTATTAGGCTAGCCATCTGGTTCTTTTCAGTATAAACCCAAATAGCATTAATACAAAGAGGGATGTTATATCATGTTTCAATGCCACAGGGAGTTAGAGGCAAGTGTTATAAGAATTCAAAGGAAAGAAGCCATGTCTAGTTGTCGAAAGGTCAAGCAAGACTTTCTTGGGGAAGTGACATTTGAGTAAAAAATAGTGGCTTAAACACACAAGGATTTATAGTCTCTGTAAGAAGGTAATCCAGGACTTATATGGCAGCTCCAGGAGGTGACCAAAGACCCAGTAATCATAGCAAAAAGGTTTCCTGTTTCTATTCGGCCATTCTCACTGTGTGGCTTCTGTTCTCAAGATTGCCTCATTGTCCAAGATGACTGCTAGCACACCAGCCATCAACACTATATTCTAGGCAACAAGAAAGGCAAAGGATCACAGTCCTGACTAGACAGCTCCCTTTATATAACTTTAAGATGCAGGCAACACTTCTACTTACAACTCATTGACCAGAACTCATTCACAAAACTGCACCTAGATGCTATAGTCTTTTAGCTGGGTGCACTGCTGCCCCAAATAACATCGGGGTTCTGCGCCTGCACAGGAAGGGGAAAATGGATATTAAGTCTCAACTAGTGGTCCCTGGCACAGGAATTTTGAACACTTCTAAACAAAGTAATGATACCAATTAAAATGCCGCAAAGTAAACCGCCTGACCAGTGCGGTATAAAATGGACTAGACCGGAGTTCCACACGGAGATGTTAGCATGAGGAGCTCTGCAGCCCACTCCCCAGTAAAACAAGCAAAGCTGGTGAAAACTATTTTAAAAATGAGCATTTGAAGTCTCTGGAAACTGTCCTGAGGGCATACAACAGATAAGAAACATTTATTGAAGGAAACCTATGAAACTTGACAAGAACAGCAAGCATCTGTGGCACCTGAGCCACAACCCACTTCCTCCCTCTCCCTACCCCATCTCAGCTTGATGGAAGCTCTACTCCAAGCAGGTGTGGTCAAGAAGACAGGGCTTCCTCTCCCCTCATCCCCCCCGACCCCCGCTCCATGGTTACTACGTGTCACTAAGGCAGGCAGGACACCAGAATTTCTCATCTCCATCTGCAAGTTAAAGAGGTTAAATTCCTGGTGAGCTCTCTTCTTCCATCCAGGCTAACTCATAGGATAGAGGTTATATCCCAGGCATGACAAACCAAGAACACTGAGGCCTCAATCACCTTCATCCAAATTTGCTCCCTTGTAAGGTAGAAACAAGCCAAGAAGACCAGAGGCTACCACACCAACCCATGCTCAGAGCAGTGGCTCTGAGATTTTGCCCAAAGGAAGAGGCAGTTCATAAGAAAAAAAGAGTTCCAATGTTCTCTGTTTTTTTTAAGAAACTGACTTTATTTGAAACAGCATATGTAATAGTTGAAGCCCGAGATGTTCTAGAAAAGAAGATCCTCTTTTCATTAAGAGCCAATAAGCTAAAGAATAAGCTACATAGTTCACCAGAGAGGACAGAGGAAAGGGGTTGTTAAAAAGAGCCCTTCTGGGGTCAGAACAAATCTCCAATACTGACTGAAAAACCAGTTCTGGAAGGATTCCGAGAAGACAGGAGACTAGGAAGCACCAGAAACTGCCTCCCAACCAGGACAATAATTGCACTGGCAGGAGCTATCTGATACAGTCTTTTGGAACTCTGGCATCTACTGGAGGTCTGCGACTTCCAGGGGAAGGCTTGCATGATAAATTACAGTTCATTTCAGTCAGCTTCATCTCTCAGCACAGCAGCAGCTATCCATCTCCCGCTGCTCATTCCAAGGCCAGGCTGTTGTGCACATGTTCCTGGAGCAGCTTGCACATAGCTTTCAGGAGCCAGGATGGACGAAGAGGAGCCTGTACTTCAAATACCAGGGATCTCTGAACACTGATTGTTGTTTCTGATCACAGAGGTGCAGACAAAGAGGCATGACCATTATTGCATCTCCCCTCATTGTTGCTAGCAACCCACCTCTGGCTAATATGACTTCCAGGTGATTTTAAAGGTCCGATGCCTCTCCTTCCCTTTATTTTTCTCATTTTTAGAGCCTGACATTGAAGACTGGAACATTTAAAAACAAAGTCACAAACAGGGAACATTAGAACATCATAGCACTTGCCCAGAGAAAAGCATAGGCTAATAAAAGACCTTAAGTTTACACCTCAGCCTGATCCTTGGCACAGAGACAGCCTATAAATAACCACAAAAACAAAAACCAAGCTTAGCAAACCCTGGAGAAGGAAGAGAATCTGACGTCCAGAGTTACCATATTATTTAATTCAAATGTCCAGTTTTCAACAACAAAAAATCATACATACAAAGAAACAAAGTATGGTCCATTCAAAGTTAAAATAAAAACCAATAGAAACTGTCCCTAAAAAGTTGCTGATGGCAGATCTACTAGAAAAAGACTTTAAAACAACTGCCTTAAAGATACTCAAAGAACCAAAGCAAAAGGTGAAGAAAACAATGTATGAGCAAAATGGAAATATCAATTAAGAGATACAAAACTTAAAAAGAAACAAAAAAGAAATCCTGAAGCTGAAAACTATAATAATTAAAGTGAAAATTTTACTAGAGGAATCCAAAGGCAGATTAGAGCAGGCAGAAGAAAGAATAAGAAAACTTGGAGATAAGACAATAGAAATTATTGAGTTTGAGAACCAGAAAGAAAAATGATTGAAGAAAAGTGAACAGAGCCTAAGGGTCATACAGCTATTTTAGAACTCTAGTATCTACTGGAGGTCTGCAACTTTCTGGGGAAAGCTTAGATGATAAATTACAGTTAATTTCAGTCAACTTTATCTCTTAGCACAGTAGCAGCTATTTTTGGTCAGCTTGGACACCATCAAGCTGACCAACATACATTGTAAAAGTTCCAGAATGAGAAGAGAGAATAAAGGGTAGAGAGAATATCTGAAGAAATAATGGCTGAAAATTCCCAAATTAGATAAAAAATATAAATATAAACATCCAAGAAGCTCAATAAACTCCAAGTAGGGTGAAGTGAAGTCACACTAAGACACATAATCAAACCATACAAAGAGAAAATGAAAGTTTTGAAAGCAGCAAAAGAGATGTGATTTGTCACATATTAGGGATTCTCAAGAAGACTATCAACAGATTTCTCAATAGAAACTTTGAAGGCCAGAAGGCAGTGGGTGGATTATTCAAAGAAGAAACTCAACAAAGACTCCTATATTCAGCAAAAATGTCCTCCAAAAGGCAAAAATTAAGATATTTCCAGATAAACAAAAGCTGATGGAGTTCATTGCCAATAGATCTGCCCTGGTAGAAGTTGTAAAGGCAGTCCTCTCAATTTCAGTAAAAGGACATTCATTAGATGGTAACTTGAAGCTATGTGAAAAAACTAAGATCTCAGTAAAAGTAAATACATGAGCAATTATAAAAGCTAGTATTATTGTAACAATGGTGTATAACTCCACTTTTTGTTTTCCATATGCTTTAAGAGATTAATACATTTTATTTATTTATTTAACTCATCTTTATTGTTGAATGTATTAT